ACTGCAATCCCTTCTCCTCTATTCTCCTCTTGGGATCTTGGGCACGCACGCACATGCACCTAGTGTGAGTTTAAGCTACCGGGTCTGGGACTCGAACCATGGTCAACTATATGGGAGTCCAGTGACATAGCCATTACGCCAACTGCTGGTCCCAAGGGAGTCTAGCACCTTAACCACCAGGCCATCTGCTGGCCCCTGAAGTAAATTTTTAAATACAATTTAGACTTCTGTGGTTAGTTCTATACTTAATAACTAGAATTTGAGATCTCAATTTGAGAGTCAGTTCTTCTGTCCTTTGATGACATAGTTATTTCTTTTTTCTTTTCTTTTTTCTTTCTTTTTTTTTTTGGAGAGATTTTCACTGTAGGGCGTGTGTGCTCGCCAGACAGACAGAGAGAGACATAGAGACAGAAAGCAAGAAATCACCCCCTGGGGGAATGGCCATACTGCAATCCCTTCTCCTCCATTCTCCTCTCGGGATCTTGGGCACGCATGCACACGCACCTGGCGTGAGTTTAAGCCACCAGGTCAAGGACTTGAACCCCGGTCGACTACGTGGGAGTCCAGCGACATAGCTATTCAGCTAACTGCTGGTCCCAATGACATAGTTATTTCTATGACTTGATTTCTTACCTCTGTGCCGAGGAAGCTCTGAGTTGTCTGAGGCTGCTCACAGCTCCTGCCATAAGTTCTTGCTGTTTCCCAGGTACGGTGACTACCCGAAACTCCCTGACCACTCACAGCAGGAGAGGGATCCGTGGTATGACTGGGACCACTCAGACCTGAGGATGAACTGGGGTGAACCGGTGAGAAAACCACATCCCATTTGACCTCTCTTTCTTCTCCCTGTGCCTTTCTGGGAATTCTCTCTTTAGCTCAAATGGCATGTCTCTGTCCAGGTACCACTAACTTTTCTGCTCAAGGAAGCAAGGTCCTGATCTCAGGCTCCATGTGTGGCATGTGGAATAAGACTTCTGGGAATAGTGCAAGCCCTGTACTGTGAACGTTGTACCTTCCAGAACCTCAGACCTGGCTCAGAATACTGCCCCTGGGACAAAAGAATACTTCTGTCAAGACTCGTGTCAGCCTCTGATCATCCTGGACTGCCTGCCTTTTGCAGGGAGGGCTGTGTGTGACAAATGTCTGTATTCTGCCTTAGATACACTGGGACCTGGACATGTACATCCGAAACCGGGTGGACACATCCCCTACACCTGTTTCGTGGAATGTCATGTGTAAGCACCTCTTCGGCTTTGTGGCCTTCATGATGTTCATGTTCTGGCTGGGGGAGAATTACCCCTCCTACCTGCCTGCGGTGAGTATCTGAGAGGAGCTGCCTTAGGCACGTTTCCTTAGCTCTGTTTCCTGAGGGCAGGACATCTTTAGGGTAGGGGTCCAGCTGATACCACGCTTGACTTCCTGGAGTCTCCGGATATAGAAAGATAGGAGGACCTTACCCATTGGCCTGGCTCAAATACCAGAGCACTGCCCCACTGCCCCATTCCGGCCAGTCTGAGTGAGAAGACATCCTTTAGGACCAAGTGAGAAATGAGAATCTGGAAGCCAGCTAGTCTCCAGAGTAGCCATTGGAGATTATGCCTACTAGGTTTCAGCGTAGAATCGAATCTAGAGCTGAAACCTCATCCTCTGTTGGATGTGTGGAGGTCACTTCCTGTAGGGTACTAGCAACAATTAAGTGTCTATTTTGGAGAAGGTGAAAGACAGAGTGACGGCCCCATAACATACTGGTGAAGGGAGCAGGAGCCCACATAGCTGACCACAGTTTGAATCCTGGCCCTAGTGGCTTGATACACATGCTGGATGCGTGTGCACGTATGCAGCCTCTGGCAATTAAAAAAAGAGAGAGAAAGGCTATCCTTAAAGACATACTCACTAGAGACCAGCAGATGGTATAGTGGTTATGTTGCTGGACTCCCACATGGCCGACCACAGTTCGAGCCCTAGACCTGGTGTTCTTAAAATTACGCTGGGCATTGTGTGTGTGCATGCCCAAGATCCCAGGAGCAGACTGGGGGAGAAAGGATTGTGGTGTGGCTATCCCCCTTGGGGAGTGATTTCTCACTGTCTCTGTCCCTCTGTCCCTCTCTCTAGCAAGTGCATGTGACAGAAACCTCTTTTGAAAAAGCGAGAGAGACAGACAGTCATATTCTCTAGCTTTAAGGAAGTTTAATTTAGTTAAGAAAATGTAGGTAAGTGAGATAATTATCCACATTTGAACAGATATAGGGGAGTTCTGCACAGTTCGTGTTTACACATATAGCGAATGTATGTGCTAAGTATTGGGTCATAGAGAAAAAAGAATACATTGTGACTTATCTGACCACCCAACAGTGTGAGCAGCTGTCAAGAAAGGTTTATACTAGATGCTAAAAAGAAACAGGATTTGAGTGGTGGGAGGAATTGGAGAAAACATTTGAGGTATGTGGTAATAACGAGGAGGGGAAAGACGGATGACTTAGCTGGAGTAGAGTGGGTTGTATAAAGTAGTTGTTAGATAACCAGTGGCACCGGTTTCTTGGAGAGCTGCTCAGAACTCAGATTCCTGGACCCTACTCTTACGGGTCTTAATTCAGTAGCTCCATAGCAGGGTTTTAAAATTAATTAATTAATTTGAGAGAGATAAGGAGAGAGAGAGAGAGAGACAGTACCCATCTCAGTGCCATGATCCACCCCTAGCCTTCAGCCAGCCCCAGGTCATGGGCATACCTCATGGAAGTCTGTCTACTTAAACCAGGGATCCTTCGGTGTGGGACTGCCTGACAGAGCATGGCATTTATCATTGTGCCACTGTTTGTCCTTTAGAATCAAGAGTTTTAAGACACTCCTGGGTAGTTCTAATGTGTATCTAGACTTGGAAATCATTGCGTTAAAATAAAGTGAGGCGAGTCGATCAGTTAGGTCTGGCAGCCTCTGTTGCATGGCTGAGGGAGCTGGATGGATGGTGTGGTGATGCACTGATTCAGCGAGTATTTGTGGAGCCCCTACTACGCACCAGGTACAGGCTGTGCTAGGGAACTAGATACGGTGGTGAGATGGTCTGCCTCTCAGCAGGGAGCCATTTTGGTTTTTCACAGAAGAGTGACAGAATGAAAGCTGGATTCTTAGGAAGATTAATTTGGGAGTAGGTTGCAGGATGGATTGGAATGAGAGGGGCTGAAAGCAGGGAGGCTGCTGTGTTTTCAGTTGGCTGCCCAGTGCTACCTCTGCAGAGATAATCCATGTCCTGAAGGTAGCTGGTATGTCTGTGTGCACTGACACGAACCTTCCTACCAAGCCCCAGGGGCCCCATGCTGGAGAGAGTGTGTAGGGCTGGGGTGAGCACTAACTTCACTTCAGGAGAGCACGAAACACGATGTGGCTCTTCCACGTTTCAGTTCTGTAAGCACTTCACCCCTTTCTCCTCCCCTTGAGCTGTGTTCTCTGACAGCTGTTTGTTGGTAAAGCCAGCAGCCCCTAAAGCACGTCCCAGCCGAGTCTCCTCTGTGCTTTCCCCCACCGCTGCTCCTGCACGCCTCATTTGCTAGGCCACTTTAGTGGTGGAACCATTAGAGGCTGAGTGACTTAAAGGAGATTGAGTCTGTCTCGACCCCGAGAGAGAGTGGGATGGATGGATGCATCGACTCATTTAGAAAGCTTTGACTCCAACTCTTTTTCTACTTCCACCTCCCTCTCCCCCTTCTTCTCCCCGCCTCCCTTCCCCTCTCGTTTCCTCTCCTTATCCCTTTTCACCTCTCCCCTGCCCCTTCCCTCTCACACAGTGTAGGCACCACTTCTCTTACAATCAGGCTTTCTGTCTGCCTTGAGCAGAGCAGGGAAGAGGAGTGCTATTCCTGCCATTCTGGCTCAGCTGGGTCTGACCAGAGGCTACTGCATACCCATTTACCTCGCGTGACTGTTAACTCAGAGTGGGATGCAGCCAGGGATTGGCTGGATGTGTGCTATTTTTGCTGACCTGTGTTTTTTCCCTTAGGGGCCAAAGCAGTATCCTTACAATGATCTATACCTGGAACGAGGCGGCGATCCCACCAAAGAGCCTGAGCCAGTGGTTCACTATGAGATCTGAGGAGGCTTCCAGAGCTTTGTACCCATTAACTAGGACTTCCATGTTCCTAGTGATTTAACTTAACGCAATCCCTAATAAAACGCAGTGCTGTGGTCTCTGTGCCTCATTTCCCCAAGAATAGTCAGTGCCATGAGGAACCCCACCCTTTTTCCTTTTATTTTATTTCCTGCCTACTGTCTGCCCTCTTTTTTTTTCTTTTCCCCACTCTGAAATTGAGAGGGACAGTTTAAGCAGGAGAAGATGTGAATTTGTCAATTTCACTGGGACTCCTGAAGGTAGTTGAAGGTTCTGGGGTGCGGGAGGTGGTAGCTCTTTTTCCCATTTACAGGGTCAAAGAGGGAAGAAAGGTATGTTCCCAACGTCCCAAATGGGAACAAGATTTTAAAAACCATTTAATAATGATGGTTAGTTAAAGAAAATCGTACTCTAACATGTTTCAAGTGTATTACAGGAGAGAGAGGTGTTCGAGAAGTGGCCCAAGGCTGAGAGTCTCTGATCCTGTTTGTGTCATAAGAATATGCATTCCTTATCCCAAAGCAATTTCTGAGTCATAGCTTTTAGTAAGCTGACGTTACCTATGTTTATGAATTCAAGTGAATGGGTTACTCCTGAACCTGTTTATGGCCTTCATTATCTTGGTGATTTATCCAAACTGCTGTAATAGCCTGAAGAAGAAGAAGAAAAACACGCTTTTGAATATGTCTCAATGCATCTGTTCTTAAGTGAATCAACCCCTGTTCTTTGTGTCCTTTGGGAAGTATTTTCTTAAATTACAATCATATGGCCTGAAAACCTTTCTCCTAAAAGTACACCTTCTATGAGACCTGTAGAAAGCACGTCCATTCAAGTTAGAGAAGGAGCTCTTCAGTGGTGGTTCAAGCAGTGAGCGCTTTTTGAGATCAAGGAGTGGGTACTTCTACCGAAATGCCCCTCTCTGAGGGTCTCATTGTTATATAAATCTGTCTTCTCTGTCCTCTATAGCATTCGATAATCATTTATTTAACAAACATCTGTGTGTCTAATATGTATCAGACACTGATAGGCCCTGGGGATATGGAACGAAACAAGACAAAATAATTGCCTTCAAGTAGTTACCTAGAAAAGGAGACTGGCAGTTAGACAACAAGGTGAAAAGAATTCTTAAAAGATGTACAGTTAAGGAAAGTGCACATTTTCTTTTGTTTATTTCCTTGAAACCGACCTGCCACTGGTTCAGAGTTCTTTTGTAGTACTCCCGTCAGTGACCCTTTTGCCGTATTCCCTAATTCTGGTTGTCACCTGAAGTTGTTTTTAACCTGATTTTCCTCCTCAGGTCTCACCCATTGTGCTGAAGGGGTTCAGAAAATACTTGAGGGCTTGGTTGGTAGAAAGAATGGTCCAGGCAGGTGATGCCCTCAGTTGTCTTCTGACCTTAAAACTTAACAAGTTCACCAGAAAAAGAACCCCGGAGTTGTGTCACAGAGTTGGGCCTCATAATGAGTGGCTTCCCATCCTCAGAAGTACATCAGGCAGGAATACAGTTTATGTGAGTTTTTAATCAATTTAGGTCTAAGATCTTCAGCTGCTTAGATGTTTTACTGAAAATGCCACAATTCCCTCCACATAAATAAGATCTCTTCACATTCCCCACCCCTCCTCAAATTGTCTAACAGCACCACTGTCTCTGACGTCTCAGGCCACTCCTTACCAGTTACAAGATCCTAACCTGCTCTCCTTTACAGTCATCACAACTGCATTAATCCAGGCTTTCATGCCCTGATAACCTGGATTACTCTTTTTTTAATATTTATTTAATTCCATTTATTATTATTTTTTAATTTGACCAGAGAGAGAAAAAGTGAGAAAGCAAGCCGCCAGGTCTGGGACTCGAACTGTGATCGACCACGGGGAGTCCAGCACCTTAACCACCATCCCACCTGCTGGCCCCAATAACCTGGATTACTCTTGCTAATTGGAGTCCTCGCCTTTGGCACTGCTCTCCTGAAGGAGTTCCACATTGCTAGACTACAATCTTGACTGCATTCCTACCCATAATTTTCAATAACTCCCTATTATCTGCATGCAGACTCTTTTTCCCTATGGCCTGGCCTGTTTCATTCATTCATGGTATGTCAAATGCTAGGCCACCTGATCTGGCTCCTTCCTCTCTGCAATATCACCTTTTGGTGGCCTCAAGGGCTAACACTCCCTTCAAGCTCCCAAAATCTCCCAAGAAGCCCCTGGGCCACAGTAGTCCTGCTCTTCACACACCTATAGCCCTTGATTAGTTCAACCAACAGGTATGGGGCACCAGTTATTGCTGGGCTGCAGTACGTCACCCTGTCACCCTCCCTATTTATTCCCGGCCTCCGTGGCTTTTTACCTTCTCCACTAAGTGGATTCCATCGAGAGCTCACGGGGGTAGGGCTGAGCCTTCTCTTGATTCCATAAATAAACAGATAACTGAATTAGTGTTTTCCCTTCTCGGAGGCTGCCCCTGAGCTTGGCTCACAGAGAATAAGCCCGAAGTTACTTACTGGTCCCGGATATGCCCACTGTGCCAGAACCGAGTCACAGGGCAGGTGCGGGCGGCCAGGTTAAAGGCCACAATCCTATCGGAACATTTTGGTAGCGCACGCGGTGCCCGCGGGCCAGGACTATTTTTGGCCCTCTGCAGCCGCCGTCCACAGCGTCCCGCTGCGCCCTCGAGCCCTCTGAGAGGACCGGCTGTGGCCGCCGCGCTGACCCCTGACCCGGCCCCCCGCGCAGGTTGGTTTTC